TTGTTAGGGAGCCGTGACACATATTTGCTGGAAAAAGGGGAAACAAATGTTTCGAGCGCAAGCTGCACCGCTTAGTTAATAAGCACTTTCTGTTTTTGGTTTGGCAACCGCCTCCGTTAATACACTATTAACAGTTAAGCCTGTCCAGTTGCTTACCAGCCACTGAAGAATGCAACCGAACTTTGTTCAAATTCTGGTTAAATAATCCAACATGCCAACACAAGTGTATTCTGCAAAACATTTTTAAAAACCTTTTGTTGCACTCCTTTGAGCAAAGGCTAAAGCCACCCAGACCTCAAAATGTGCGATACAAAGCGGCACACACTCCTCGAACATGTGCCACACTTTCTATTATGAGAAGAAAGTGATTTTCTAGTTACTGAATGAAATTAAAGGCAGCCTGTGATGGTACTACTACGTTCCCGAAGAGTTTTCCAGGCGCGTGGTATGATTTAAGCCCAAGAAAGTACTGGTGAAGTCTGGTAAAGTTATCAGACTAATCCCATAGCAGCTTAGAACAGCCACAGCAGTGGGTTGTCTGTTCAAGCAAAAGCTTGATCAAATAGCCCCAAACGTAATAAGTGGACGAGTCATCAATTAGGTTAGACCTAATGTCAGATGCCAGCTCAGAAATATCCTCTAGTGGAGGGAAGTTATCAATTGGAATACATTCCACACTGCCTGAAATTGAACTTTCATTATGTGAAGATATTGGCAACACCTTGAGGAGGTCCATCCTTGTCATCCTCTACGTTTCCATTGTTCGACAGTTTGAACAGTTTCTTTATCCCTATGTGTTTTAATCCTGAGGTGAACTGACGCACATTTAAGTTTGTGTTGCAGCCTAGCATTTGTCGTATATAGCTCCAAAAGGTTTGTCGAGTGGGTCTTGCTGCAGGCATCGTGTAAGTAAGAACTTACAAGTCATGGCTGTTTGAAAGCTCATCCCAGAGCATGAGTACACTTTTTATAGTAACTTGCCACCCTATGATGGCTTGTGACTGCCTCCTACTTTGGAACTGCAATGCTGAAATCCATCCGAGTTGCTGGAGAAGGAAATCGAGTACTTCAGATTCTCCCTTCAGAATGACATGATGCAACTTCTGCCCTGTCTTCTTGAATTGTGAGCTATTTAGACAATCCAAAAGTATGTACAGTGCCCCTCAAACTTAACGCCGCCACTAGATCGTCCGGTTTATTCACTTGTTGAGCTATTCCTGAACCTAGTGGTCGAACTACTTGGTGAACATTCGCGTCCCCGATGCGAACCCTACCAGGGGAAGGTATTCGAGCAGCTGCAGCGACCAATTTATCTTTGGATAGCATGCAATAGATATATATTTGCGTAACCGGGGTGTAACCGAGTGGCGGCGTTAAGTTTGAGGGGCACTGTACATCCTATCACAGAAATAGGCTGTAGCCATGGCTGCCTCAAGAAGCTCCTTGTCATAAACAAGGGATATGACTGCAAGAAAGAGTGAGGCACTCAGTACCTGTGCGGCACGATTTTCTTCCATGCTACTGAAAGGTTTTTGAAAATGTGTCTCTCAGTAAGTATCAGAGCCAATGGCAAGCTCATCTCATGGGCAGAACGATAAAGTACAATAATATGGGACCACTCAGTGACCTGATTTCCAATGCAAAGTTTGTGCTCTTGGTTGTTTTGGGGAGGTGCATAACATCAAAGATAAAGTAAACATGTTTGTGGTCCACTTCAAAAATGGCTTATGAACACACACACCAAGTTCGTTGGCCAAGCTTAAGTTTGAAACCCCTTATTCACAGACCATAGCCTCTACTGTTAAGCCAACAGTCTTAAGCTCCCGAATGAGAGAAATGAGGAGACTGTGAATAACAGAAGACGGTGTTGAAGTGTGCCCAACAGTGTATGCAGGGGGCTGAATCCTCTTCCTGGAAACTTCAGAGAGCACAACAACCAAGGCTCTATCTGCAATGTTATCGGTTCGTTCAACACCGTCATCTGTAAATCCATGGACAATGTCGTGTGCAGAGTCGTAAGTTAAGTTCTTTTTTAAAACAATCTCATCGAAAATCAAGATGCACCAACGATGAAGAGAGGCTCAAACCGATCGGCGCCACAAATACACGCCGAGCATGCGAGCACGCGGGCGGTCATGTGTCACCTTGAATGATGCAAAGTCGACCGAACATGATGCAGCAGAAAGCACAGACGGACGGCACGCACGGCACAGACGAATGACACACGGATGAGCAGAGGCCATGCAGATTGATGCAGAGGCGGCAGGCGTGCAGGCGCGCAGGCAACGGCAGGCGCCATTCATCACATGGTTTTTGTGACGTATTTGATTAAAACTATTTAGTTGTTTTAAGTACTTTAAATCGAAAATCAAGATGCACCAACGATGAAGAGAGGCTCAAACCGATCGGCGCCACAAATACACGCCGAGCATGCGAGCACGCGGGCGGTCATGTGTCACCTTGAATGATGCAAAGTCGACCGAACATGATGCAGCAGAAAGCACAGACGGACGGCACGCACGGCACAGACGAATGACACACGGATGAGCAGAGGCCATGCAGATTGATGCAGAGGCGGCAGGCGTGCAGGCGCGCAGGCAACGGCAGGCGCCATTCATCACATGGTTTTTGTGACGTATTTGATTAAAACTATTTAGTTGTTTTAAGTACTTTAAATAATTCTAAAGCATAAAATAAAAAAAAATACTTCCCACAGAAATAGTTCTAAATATTCTAACCAAAATACAGCAAAGCGCCACGTAGCGGAGGGCATTAAACGCACTATCTAAGCCGCGAATCGGCTTCTCTGTCCGCTCTTTACGTTTACTATATTACTCTATAAACATACTTGCTTCTGCCTCTTGTCTTCAGTTCAAAGGCCACCTTTTCTTTTTTGTTGTTTTATTCCTGTGCCTTCCGAGAATCCTAATCTCCGAAAAAAAGTGGAGAGCATTCACATCTATAACAATGCACAGCCAAGTGGCCCGAGCGTGACTGTTTAGAGGCATCAGCATGCTCCCTTGCACGATCATTAACGCATCGCCCAGTTTGTCCCAGGTAAGAGCGACCGTATGAAGGTGCAATGTCATACACCCCACGTGGAGGATTCCACAAATTTGTTTTTGTGCTTTTTCTTGCAGCCCTCACTCCCCAAATGAGGGGAATTTATTTTTCGGAACAAACCAGACAGCTTATTTGGAACAGAAAAACCTACCAAGGCTTCATAGCGTTCAGCAACTTTCTTAAAGTTGCGAGATAAGGTATGTATTGTGGGAAACGAAGGGGTCGATCACGTACCTTTTTACGTCCGGACACCGGTGCTCAAAGGGAAATCCGATGCCCGTCCCACCGTGCGGCCGACGGCTACCAGCGAGGGCGGTCGCCGCGCCGGGTTCGTCCAACGCCATGCCAACAACGATGATCCCGGTATCCAACAGCGTTTGTTGAGTACCAGGGGTCCCCAACAAAACACTGCGGTCAAGCGAGCCGCGTATACAGTGTGCCCGCAGCGCCGGCCGACCTGAGAGCTAAAGGGGTAAATGCGAGCGGAGTCATCGCCGGTCGGACGAGCTCACGCTGCTACCCGTCGTCGCAGGGGTTCGAGGCCAGGGGTCTCGGCATACGGACGTCCACTAAATAGAGGGGACGCCGACTGTCAGAGCCAGAGGGAACGCTAGCGTCGAGTCATCGCCGGTTGGACGAGCTCGTACGCCGCGATTCGAACCGTCGCCGGGAGCCCAATCCAGGACTCCTAGACACATGGCCCTTCACTCAGAGGGCAGGCCCGACTCTCCCCCGCGATCTCGGTCGTCTCCGGAAACGGGAGACGTGCGGAGGAGTGCGAGATGGTAGGCCAGCATGGTGACGTAGTCTCTCCGACACGATACGGAGCGACCGGGCTCGAAGTCAGACGGCTTCGCCCTGAACAGGACACTACAAAACTCACGACTCCGGCAAACCGTGAAAATTGAAGCGGACGCTTCTATTTTTACGGTCTGTCGGAGTCGTGAAAACGTTTGCAGGACTCAGGAGTCGTGAAAATTTTTACGATCACGACTGCTCTCCTCTTCAGATTGACGTCACTCGCCACCTACGTCTGGCTCACCTCGCCAACGCCCTCGCGTACCGCCGTCGCCTCGGCTCGAAGGCCAAGGAGGTCCGGCTTCGGGTGGATTTGGGACATTCCTGCGTCGAAGGGTGCGTTTCGCCCGCCTCGGATCTGCTTTCTTTGTCGAGATTCACTTTCGTCGTGATGGCGTCCAATGCGGTTCCGTATTGTGAGTGGAGGCCTTGAGCGATTGACCGACAGCCAAGAGAGCGTGTGAGTGGCTCTCCGGACCCACGTGATAAGCAGAGCAAGGCCGCCGTGGAGGAAGCGAGGGGGAGATTTGACGGAGGGAAGTTTCCCCCCGAAAAGAATTGACGGAGGGAAATTTCCCTTCGACGGCCGGAAGCGGATCGCGGCAGAGCGCGGCACGATTTGCCGGAGTCGTGAGTTTTGTAGTGTCCTGTTTGGACACCCCTTTACGCGTTCTCGGGAGAGGGAAACCGGTGGCTTCCACAGTATGTAAGGAATTATATCCTGCCTTTTCCTCAAGCGCTCTCGGGTAAAGTCCCTTGATACTTCTTTTACAAGTAACGACAACCAATACAAATGACGAAGCACATTCTGCTGAGACAAATTGGCGTCATTCAGTTCTGACCTCTGCTGTGCGCAACCATTCACTTCCTGAAACCTGCAACGTCACGCAGTCGGCGCCCCAAAAAAATGTCACTACTTCGAGGAAACTCTTATCTAGGTTATGATCATAATGGAATTAAATGCAAAGGTGCAAGGGAGCTGGACAGGAATGACGAATTTTCGTCATTCTTGTCCAGCTCGCATGCATCTTTGCATTTAATTGCATTATAATCATAACCTTAAACACTGTAAGTTTCACCCTTGTTGGTGTCAGACTGGTGGCGGCTGATAAAACCCGTTTGCTCTACTGACGTCTAACCCCTGGTTAGCTCAGTTGGTAGAGCGTTTTACTCGAAATGGAGAGGTCCCGGGTTCGTTACCCAGACCAGGCAGATTTTTTCGGTCACGCACCAGTCACCTGCTGTGTTTGGAGATTCATGTTTGTCCTTTGTGCCTCTTGTTCCCCTTCTCCAGGGATCATTTTCGTCATTCTTATCTAGAGACTTTACTCTCTGCAACGTCATTCATTGTCTGGTGTGGAAACCCCGCCCTCAAGAGTCGGTCGACTTGTCTCTGGAAGCTGCTTCCCATTTCATCAGAACGATTTCGTCAAAGAGGCTCAGAGACAACATAGTTAAGACTTTGCCTTTTGAACGCTTATTTATTTAAATTGAGACAACAAGGTTTTGTCACGGGATTTCACAAAATTGTGGTACATATTTTTTCCCCTCTGTATTCCCTTTTTAAGATTGCCATTAGGCCGTGGATTTTTCAATTTTCGTTTCGTCTTCCTTGTTTGTACTACGGGGAACGCGGAACCATGTAAGTTTATAAATAGTCTTAAAAATTTGCTATACGCTACATCTGCACACTCTTCTAGAAAAACGCTAGACGAGTCAAAATGTTCAACAAGTTGTTTAAAACTATCAAGTGTTTCCGCACTTAATTTTCTAAAGCTGTAACTTTCGGAGTTGTTTGTGTTGTTCGAAACTGGGAAAACGGCTCAAGCAAAACATGGGTAGGTGGTCACTTATGTCTTGACTAAAGAGTCCAGTGAAAAGCTCAGTCTGGTCTACATTTGTCACACATATGTATATGGATTTGGAGCTCTTACAGACTATTCTAGTTGTCCTACGCTTGCTTTACTACGTTTCAGCAAGCGTAGGACAACATGGGGTAATTAATATTTATTGCGCATGTATAATTTTCTATTGTGTCAACGTTTATATCCCTATAACTAAAATTGGTAGTGTTGTTAGGGAAATAAACGTAGTAGGTCGTCAAAGAAGTTCAGAAAACCAGACATGTCTCCTATCGGTGGCCTATATACCGTTACAAGAATTTTTTTTTGTACGAACAACCAGGCACTCGACATCTGGATTAAATACGCACGGTTCCCCCACAACAGTGAAGGAAATAGAAGCTTTGAAATAAATAAAAATTCCGCCACCTCGTTTTTTCTTGTAATTTCTACTCGCACAGCTGTAGCTATGAATATTTGGAGGTGCCTTCTTTTCACGTAACCATGTATCGGTAAAAAATAATGTGTTAAAACGCAAACAAAGTGAAAAAATAAATACATCAAGGGCGTCCGGTCTTCTATTTACACTTCTGGTTTTTAAATGAATTGCTGAAAAATATAAATTTGAATTTCCGAATCTTCCATTGAACTGCATGTTAGTACAATATTCGCATTGCTGAGCCAGCATAAACGAAGAGTACCAACCACTAGATTAGTAAGATTTTATCTACGTCATTTTTTCAAAATTAGTCATACACAAAATTTTCAGCACACTTGAGTCGTCCTTCTTTTGCGCAAAAACTTTCCCGCCCGAAGTCCAGATCTGTTTCACCTAACCTCTTTTTTTAAGGCGAAAGCCCTACCTGTCCCACTGCGCGAAAGAGCGGCGGCGATATGCCCGAAAGATGGTCACACTAATACGTCATCGAGCACGCGCCTCATAAATAAAACACAAAGAAAAGCACAGCGACGCAGATGCATCGTCACGGAAGCCGTCTTGGAGACGGCGCGATTCGCCACGCATGCGCAGTGGGGGAGCGTAATATCTCCACCGGAACGCTGTCTAAAAAAAGGGAAGACGTGGCGCGCTGCTTGTAGGAATAAGCTGCATGTAGGAATGCTTTCACATTCCTACACGTAAGTATTCTTTAGTGTCTGTGCCAAATTTCTTTTTTTTTTTTGCAATAGCTGCCCTAAGCGGTTTTTTTTAACGCGTAAGCGCTTTTCTTTTTGTTTTCGCAGGTACCGCGTCTCTTTTTGTGCGTTGCACGAAACGCACGGTAGGATGCTTTTTTCGCCTGGTCTGTTCGTTGGCACTCTGCGGCAGACACCAATATCAGAGACTGTGATTGGCCCATTCAGTGAGCCCCCGATCTTTATTACACGACCATGGGGATCGCCTTCGAGAGGCACTCCTTTTATCTCAAAGTTGTGCGAGCGTTGGTATTGCTCCAGTTCTTCCCCGCGCTGGTTCAGTCTTTGATTTTCGATCTGTAGCTCAGTGTCCTGTTTCGTATATTCCTTAACTTATTTTCTTCGGTGCTTTACGTCATTCCCTATCGCGTCCACTTTATCGCAAGTGTCGCTGCAGAACCTAGCGCTTCCGCCCTTAGTTTGCGGCGAAGACCATCAAGAGCTTTTGCAAACCCTTTGGATTCCTTTTAACTTTGGTCATGGTATTCGTACAAAGTATAAAAAAACACGCACACACATACACACATTGAGCTGTGTTCGGCAGCAGTGCGCAAAACAAAATTATTTAGATCTGAAAGCAAATTCTCATCTTCGAGCAGAAACCAGGATTTTTAGATGTGCGCCTGTTGTGCACCGCTGCACAACTGATCAAGGTAGAGGGCCGTCCTTCCTTTCTGCAAACAACGCCTGGTGTTGCGGATTTTAGAGTTGCGCTGTTCGATCGTGCGTGGAGCGCGTGTAGTTTGCGCCGAGATTGAGAGAACATGGGCTTCGAGATCCGGCACCACGTGGGAAGGATTCCCGGTATGGTGAATGACCTGAAGCCATTCACCGATCTTCGAAGTGTGGTCATGTTCCACGGGGGATTCGAAGGCGGAGCGACTTCGTTCGCATCGCGTGCTCCATCACAGATATTGTCTACTGATCCCGGCGCGCTTCAAAATGACCGATGCAATTCGGCATAAGCTTCCTCGGTAATATCCCTGACAGGTTAAACAAAATAGTGAAGTGAACTGAAAACCTCATAAGGTTAAAACATAACGAAGTGAACCGAAAACCGAGTCACTCCTAGTGAGAGTTACTCGGACTGGTAGAAATCCATGACATGGCAGACAGAATAAAGCTTGCTTGAGATAAATCGTCAGAGTAACTCTTTAGTGTACAGAATCGTCAAACAATTTGGTGTTAATATTCAAATTCTATTATATGATATTTATAAAGAAGAGTAAAAACAGTCTTTAACACCGTAATTTCGGGGTACCCTAACGTGATGTTGCACGTGCCTGGAAAATAGACCCCACACAAACGACCTGCTGTCTTAATACACATTTCTAGCCGTGCTGTGAATTTTACTACTTTTATGATAGATTCAAGATTTTGCAAGAGCTTACACATGAGGTACAGTCATGTCTCGTTAATATGCACCCCGTTAATTTCGATACCCCGCTATATGAACACCATATTCTCGGGGAAAAACTGGGAAAATTCATGCGTTTCTGTCTCGTTATTATGGGAAAATCACATTATGGAGGATTTTGGGGGGAACGGGGGTGTACACATTGATAAAACATTACTATATGTGCATTTTTGAAAATTCTTAAGTGTAGTATTTCTCCACACTAAATGACAGTACTTTAGGTGCAAATCGAATAGTCGTTTCACTGTAGTAGCTAAAGTTCTATGATGTATGTAGATTAATCACACGATACAGAATGTGATCGTATTCACTCACGACAAGCCGAACACTAACCGATGGGATGTTGTTACGAGCATTGACATAGATTCCACAAAAAAAAAAGATTTACACGCAGTGCAATCATATTCTAAAATTGGCCTAACATATTATACGGCTTCATCAACCTGTACAAAAAAATATATATATAATAATTGGCGAGAACGGCCGGCGTCACCAATTACGCTATTCTCATCACCAGATGCACTAAGTGTTTGTACAGAATATACTGCCGCGTGCATGACCGAGCATAAACGGTTCTCAGTGTCTCTAGAAGTTTCGTGTTAATTCTTACTCCGAGCGTAAAAGCTATAGGGTGGCCGGAAAGACCTGCCCTAGTCAGTCTCGCCCTTGCTCACTCCCGGTCATTGTAGGTCGAATCTTCGAGATACCGAGTGTAATAGATGAGGAATCGAGCGCGGTCTTGTCGATTCATTCACTCTTCTGCCAGCCAGCTGTCACGCCGGCGCCCCGTCGCTCGTTGTTGCCTCCGTAGACGCTCGCTGCTGCTTTCTCGACGTTGTTTCTTTCTTTCGTGGCTGGCACAAGTTCACCGATTAAACATTTATTCTCAGTTTACGCTCGTCGAGCCTTTTCAATCTGCGACAATATAAACTACCAAACAAACTTTGAAGAGAAGGTTCTCCGCAGTATTTGGGGGTCCAGGATCGTCGAATGAGCTAGGAATTAATATATCTGTTTCTACCGATCCTGCCTACGTCTCCGTGTCAAATTTTGAACAATTCTGCTATGGCCGACATTGTAATGAAAGCAAGTTTTGTAACCAGTGTTGCCTGCTGTACCCTACAGCAGAGTCGAACACGATATCTTACAATTGTAGTAGCGATTTCGGAAGGGTATATTGGAAAATATCGAGGTGATATTTGATTTTTGTTTTAACGCAATCGAACACTTAAACTGCAACTTCATGGAGGAAATGGTTGTCTGCCGCATTCAGACGTTCCTGTTTCATAGAATCCAGCATGAGCAGCATATTCTCCTTCAGTACATGTCAGGAACTTAGAAATCAATGCCTTTATATCTCAGGTCATGTCACTTAGGTATTAATCTAGAATGGGGCAATACGACGATTGAAAGAAAGATCTCAAAGTGACGAGTTTCATTCTCTTTATTTCTCTCTTTATGACAACAAAAGTTGGCAGCGAACAGTCCTCTTCTTCATGGATTCCTAATGGCTGACGTCCACGATGGTAACTTTTCTTTGTGGAGTTTCTGTAAAACAGGGGTAATAAATTCACTCATCAGGACTCTGTGCTCAATGAAAGCACTCAGGTTGGAAAATATATCTGCATAAACTTACACTTCTTCTTGCGGAGGAGGGTGGTGTAGTCACCATAGGTGCCAAGACCGTATCCGTAGTTCAGACCGTAGCTGCCGAGCCCATGTCCGTAACCAAAGTGGCCGGCGCCGTAGCCGAGAGAACCAACGCCATATCCGTAGACTGGGGCAGCGTGGGCGTAGGAAGCCAGAGCTGGAGCGGCGTGGTAGGTCTGGTAGCTGGCGATAGCTGGAGCAGCGTGGACGGTGGATACCCTAGTCACGGCTGGAGCAGCGGCATAAGTGGCGACAGCTGGGGCAGCGTGGTAAGTCTGGTAGCTGGCAACAGCTGGAGCAGCGTGGACGGTGGACACCCTAGTCACGGCTGGAGCAGCAGCGTAGGTGGCAACTGGGGCAGCGGCATAGCTGGCGAAAGCTGGAGCAGTCTGGTAGGTAGCGACCTTGGTAACAGCTGGAGCAGCGGCATAGGTGGCAATTGGAGCAGCGGCATAAGTGGCGACAGCTGGAGCAGCATGGACGGTGGACACCCTAGTCACGGCTGGAGCAGCAGCGTAGGTGGCAACTGGGGCAGCAGCATAGCTGGCGAAAGCTGGAGCAGTCTGGTAGGTAGCGACCTTGGTGACAGCTGGAGCAGCCGCATAGGTGGCAACTGGAGCGGCGTGGTAGGAGGCGACAGCTGGAGCAGCGGCGTAGGTCGCAACGGCTGGAGCGGCGTGGTAGGAAGTGGCCACAGTGCGGCTCACGGCTGGGGCAGCAACACTGTAGCCGGTCAGACCAGAGTAGCCGTAGCCGTTCCTAAGACCAACAGCGTGGCCGTAGCCAAGACCATGGCCGTAGCCGAGGCCGGAGTAGCCAAGGCCAGAGTAGCCGAGGCCGGAGTAGCCAAGGCCGGAGTAACCGAGACCAGAGTAACCGAGGCCAGAGTAGCCGAGGCCGTGGCCGTAGCCGAGACCGCCTTGGACGTAGCCAGCAATGGCTCCGCTGGCCAGAGCCAGGAGAAGACAAGCACGGAACTGCATTAATCAACATTAGAGCACATTAGTTGGATATTGTAAACTTTATACTGATGACGCAAGATGGTGCCAGCTGAGTAAACAGTTTGTTTTGCTTAAATATTGGTCAACGCGAGTGTTCCAGTTAGCATTCAATCAAAATAACAGTAATCAATGTAGATCCTGAAAGAGAACGTAGCTCGATATTTTAAATCTGCTTTGTGGTCAAATTAATATATATTTGCTCTTCTATATTATATATTATTGCGGCGTTTAATCAAGTTTGCACTTAACTGTCTGAGAGTCGTAAAAGAACAAAGCATCCCACTTTGCACCAAGCCGTATTTTTTAACTGATTAATATATCAGCGTGCAATGTGAAAAATGTATGCCACAATTGTTTGTAAGCAAGCGGTCATCTCCATCAAACTGCGTTTGCAAGTTAAACCTATGTTCTGATTGTAAAAATCTGTATCAACATAAGGGGGCGCGACAGACTGCAATTTTACAGCAAATATTTCTGCAACATATGTTGGGGGAAGTTTGGTCTTCATAAAAAAACTTCAGTTATACATTTCATAAAATATCAGACTTGAAAAAAACGTGTTACAGTTAAGACCTGAGTGATATCAATGTTTGATTGCGTTCGCCTGAAAGTCTTTCAAATTAAAAATATATTCTTTCAACTTAAACTTAAATTCTTGAATTGACCACTCAATGCGCCCCACTCAAGCCAACAATTTCCTAACCAAACGACCATATTTTTAAAAAAAAATTGAAGAATCCACTTTTGCAATAAAAGTTGATGTAGCTTAGTTACGCGAAGCAAGCAAAGTAAACACATGTTCAAGTGCCTACTGGACCTTATTTCCGATAGGCACAGGAATCATATGAGGAAAGGCACAACCTAATAAAAATGCTTATAAAAGTAGATAAACGAGCTTTAAAGTCCGGTATTTTCAAAATGGTGCACTCACTCCGGTCATGGTGTAGGTTTACAGAAGAGGAGTTCAACTGCGAACTTGGATGAAAAATCTGGAGCTTTTATACACAACAGGATTGAACGAGAACGTGATGTACATCAAATGAGAAAGCACAGAAAAGAAAAAGCCTGAAAGAAAGAAAGCAGACAACTTGTATTTTGTATAAACTGATTGTAACCTTGGGGAAAAGTATTGAGGTATGTCAATCACGTACACCCTTTGACGCGAATCAGCATACTAGAAATAACTGGCTTGAAAAATTCCGCGTACACTCAATAGTTGACTCGACGCCAATGAATAATGAAAGGGTTTTGTTAAATGTGCTTTGCGCTGTTATTTCTCTACCCGGATTTTGCCACGTGCAATGCTCCTTTCTGCAACCTTGGGGATCCTTTTCTAGTGCTTAAAGTAGGTTTCTTAATTGAATTGGTTGTACGGTGCCCCCACAGATTCAACGCCGCTATAGATTATTCGTTTTTGAGAAGGGCCTATTGAGACAGGTTCTAATTATTTAGACAATGCATCCTATATAACAGGGGTCTCAAACACGCGGCCCGCGGGCCGCATGCGGCCCGCGACTCGCTGGGACGCGGCCCGCAGGCAACCTGCTGCGAGTCCCGGCTGCCATGTCACAAGCGCTATAGAAATGGCATATGCCATCGTGATCTCACCTCGCCGATTCATTTCCGCTTGAAAAGTAGCTCCGCTCTTTTAACGTATTCACATAGTTTTAACTTATCTGTGTTCATTCGCCCTTTGTCTCGCTTTATGTTTTGCTTCCCGGATTTTTGAAAAGCGAGCTTTTTGTTGAAGGATGCATCTTGGATGCGCGAACTCCGAATCAGCAGAACTGCCGAAGATAAAGATAAAGATAAAGCATCAAAAGACAAGTATGTGTGTTGAACTAGAAATCGTCAGGAAACCTAGAACTGCCAAATTAACTGATTGTTTTTAGAGACATATTGAGCTTGGTTAATCCCTGAGTGAATTGGACAAGGCGAACGACAGTGCACTTGCTCTTTTGTTCAATTAAAAATGCGACCCCGTTGGCGGAAAGGTGTCATTTTAATTATTGTTATTACATCAGGTCACGGCCCAAAGTAGTCATATGAACAAACCAAATCTTAAAATGTCACTGGCTAAACTGAGTTTACAAAAAGCGTAGAGCACAAGGTCTGTTACTTCGAACTCGTTTGAACCGCCCCCTCAGTCTAACGTTGGCCCTCGGCCTTCCCAGTGTGGCTGTCTGGCCCTCACGATCCCCTCAGTTTGAGACCGCTGCTATATAAGTTTCACTAGGCTTGTCAATCAGAAATGTAATACGCGAAAGTAACTGGTAAAAAGACCACGTGGCTTCTTTATGGTGGTGCGGGGTAAGCAAGGGTTGCTGTGGTGACCGTCGCCGCCCTCTGCTTCGCAGGCGGCAGCGACGGCAGGCACGAATATTTTTGAAAGGCAGGTGATGTATTGAAAAGGGCAATCGTTCTTTAAATGGCGGGTATCACTGAACACAAATACCAGCAGTGATGCTGGTGTCTGATAACTCAAAATGTGCAGTAGGATTTACATACATCTAACCAGCTTTTATGGGGCTTGCTGAAGTTATGTAATATATTTTCCTTCTGTACTAGTCACTGACAAGATGAACACCACGGTCATTAAGAATAGGACAATATTTAGCTTCGTTTGCCTCATCTCTGTTTCAATCGTCTCTTTTTTTCGGGTCCAGTTTCTTGTGCTTGGGTGTCATATTGGCAGGGTTGGCACAGACATTTTGACTGATTCTGACTTTTGCAAAAGCAGTTGAAGCCCCTTTATTGTTGCTAATTACAAGGGGGAATTTGGAAGCTGCTGCAAAGGTGCGGCATTGGTGTCGCTGAAATGCATGCATTTCATGATCACCTTAACTACTTCGCTTAGATGTCCGCTCATTTGAACCTGGGTATCTCGTCTCACGTTCGTAGCCACCATTGTTTCGAGGCACCACTGAAGCAGGATAAAGTTGAAATAGCTGACCAAACGCTTATGTGCTCTGCATTGCTTTTATTTTGTCTTTGTTTAGCTGCACCTGGGTGGCGCAACCGTGCCCCATTTCGTGCGTTGCGGCGATGCTTTTTTTTTATTACGAGCTTCTGGGAGCGCTGTTGAACAGTAAAACGCACACTGAGGCGCTGGCTGAGCATATTCATTTCTAATTAAAATCATCATTAGTATTTGTTAATTACATCAATGAATACAGGGTTAACGGAGAAATGAATATACTATGATTGGTATCTCAGACACTGAGTGACAACCGTTTTAGTGTCTTAGAACTCCAGTTCCAACTAGTGATATTAAGCTGTTAGACTCTTTCTCTAACACCATTTGATACCCCGCCATATGAACACCATTCTCGGGGAAAAACTGGGACAATGCATGCGTTTTTGTCTCGTTATTATGAGCAAATCACATTATGGACAATTTTGGGGAGAACGGGGGTGTCGACATGGTCAAGACATCACAATATGGGCATTTCTGAAAATTCTTAAGTCTGGTATTTCTCCACACTAAATGACAGTAATTTAGGTGCGAATCGAATAGTCGTTTGACTGAAGTAGCTAAAGTGCAATGATGTATGTAGGTTAATCATATGATGCAGAATGCGATCGTATTCCCTCAGGACAAGCCGAACACTGACAGATTGGATGTCCTTACGAGCATTGACATAGATTCCAAAAACACGATTTACACGCAGTGCAATTATATTCTAAAATCGGCCTAACATATTAAACGGCTTCATCAACCTGTACAAAAAATAAATAAATATAATAATTGGTGAGAACTGCCCGCCTCACCAATTACGCTATTCTCATCACCAGATGCACTAAGTGTTTGACAGAATATACTGCCGCGTGCATGACAGAGCACAAACGCTTCTCCGTGCCTCTAGAAGTTTCGTGTTTATTGTTACACCGAGCGTAAAAGTTAAGGTGGCCGGAAGGACCTGCCCTAGTCAGTCTCGCCCTTGCTCACTCCCGAACATTGTAGGTCGAATCTTCGAGATACCGAGTGTAATAGATGAGGAATCGAGCGCGGTCTTGTCGACTGATTCACTCTTGTGCCAGCCAGCTGTCACGCCGACGCACCGTCGCTCGCTGTTGCCTCCGTAGACGCTCGCTGCTGCTTTCTCGACGTTGTTTCTTTCTTTTGTGTCTCGCACAAGTTCACCGATTAAACCTTTATTCTCAGTTTACGCTCGTCGAGCCTTTTCCATCTGCGACAATATAAACTACCAAACAAGCTTTAAAGAAAAGGTTCTCCGCAGTATTTGGGGGTCCAGGATTGTCAAATGAGCTGGGAATTAATATCTCTGTTTCTACCGATCCCGCCTACGTCTCCGTGTCAAATTTTGAACAATTTTGCTATGGCCGACATTGTAATGAAAGCAAGTTTTCTAACTAGTGTTGCCTGCTGTACCCTACAGCAGAGTCGAACACAATATATCACAATTCTAGTAGCGATTTCGGAAGGGTATCTTGGAAAATATCGAGGTGATATTTGATTTTTGTATTAACGCAATCGAACACCTAAACTGCAAATGCAAGGAGGAAATGGTTGCCTGAGGCATTCAGGTGTTCCTGTTTCATACAATCGTGCATGAGCGGCATATTCTCCTTCAGTAGAGGTCAGGAATTTAGAAATCGCTGCCTTAATATCTCAGGTCATGTCATTTAGGTATTAATCTAAAATGGCGCAATACGACGATTGAAAGAAAGATGTGAAAGTGACGAGTCTCATTCTTTTTATTGCTTTCTTTACGACAACAAGCGATGGCAGTGAACAGACCTCTTCTTCATAGATTCCTTGTGGCTGACGTCTACGATGGTAACTCTTCTTTGCGGAGTTTCTGTAAAACAGGGGGTAATAACTTCAATCATCAGAACTCTATGCTAAATGAAAGCATTCAGGTTATAAAAATATATCTGCATAAACTTACACTTCTTCTTGCGGAGGAGGGTGGTGTAGTCACCATAGGTGCCAAGACCGTACCCATAGTTCAGACCGTAGCTGCCGAGCCCGTGTCCGTAACCAAAGTGGCCGGCGCCGTAGCCCAGAGAACCAACGCCATATCCGTAGACTGGGGCAGCGTGGGCGTAGGAAGCCAGAGCTGGAGCGGCGTGGTAGGTCTGGTAGCTGGCGACAGCTGGAGCAGCGTGGACGGTGGATACCCTAGTCACGGCTGGAGCAGCGGCATAAGTGGCGACAGCTGGGGCAGCGTGGTAGGTCTGGTAGCTGGCGACAGCTGGAGCAGCGTGGACGGTGGACACCCTAGTCACGGCTGGAGCAGCAGCGTAGGTGGCAACTGGGGCAGCAGCATAGCTGGCGAAAGCTGGAGCAGTCTGGTAGGTAGCGACCTTGGTAACAGCTGGAGCAGCGGCATAGGCGGCAACTGGAGCAGCGGCATAAGTGGCGACAGCTGGAGCAGCGTGGACGGTGGACACCCTAGTCACGGCTGGAGCAGCAGCGTAGGTGGCAACTGGGGCAGCAGCATAGCTGGCGAAAGCTGGAGCAGTCTGGTAGGTAGCGACCTTGGTGATAGCTGGAGCAGCCGCATAGGTGGCAACTGGAGCGGCGTGGTAGGAGGCGACAGCTGGAGCAGCGGCGTAGGTCGCAACGGCTGGAGCGGCGTGGTAGGAAGTGGCCACAGTGCGGCTCACGGCTGGGGCAGCAACAGCGTAGCTAGCTGGGGCAGCAACACTGTAGCCGGTCAGACCAGAGTAGCCGTAGCCGTTCCTAAGACCAACAGCGTGGCCGTAGCCAAGACCATGGCCATATCCGAGGCCGGAGTAGCCAAGGCCAGAGTAGCCGAGGCCGGAGTAGCCAAGGCCGGAGTAGCCAAGGCCGGAGTAACCGAGACCAGAGTAGCCGAGGCCAGAGTAGCCGAGGCCGTGGCCGTAGCCAAGACCGCTCTGGACGTAGCCAGCGATGGCTCCGCTGGCCAGAGCCAGGAGAAGACAAGCACGGAGCTGCATAAATCAACATTAGTGCACATTTTAATAAGTTAGATATTGTACACTTTATACTGATGGCGCAAGATGGTGCCAGGTGATAAACGGTTTGTTTTGCTTAAATATTGGTTAATGCGAATGTTACAGTTAGCATTCAATCAAAATAACAGTAATAAATGTAGATCCTGAAAGAGAACGTAGCTCGAAATTCCAAATCTGCTTTGTGGTTGAATAAATTAATATTTTCTCTTCTATAATATATGTTTTTGCGGCGTTTAATCAAGCTTGCACTAAACTGTCTCAGAGTCATAAAAAAACAAAGCGTCCCACTTTGCATCAAGGCGTATCTTTTAACCGATTAATGTATCAGTGTGCAATGTGAAAAATGTATGCCACAATCGTTTGTGAGCAAGCGGTCATCTCCATCAAACTGCGTTTGCAAGTTAAGCCTATGTTCTGGTTGCAAAAATCTGTATCAACTTATGGAGGCCCGACAGACTGCAATTTTACAGCAAATATTTCTGTAACATATGTTGCGGGAAGTTTGGACTTCATAAAAGTGTTCAGTGAGATATTTCATAAAATATCAGACTTAAACAAAAGATACTACTATTAAGACCTGAGTGATATCAATCCTTGATTGCGTTCGCTTGAAAGTCTTTCAAATAAAAAATGTATTCTTCAACTTAAACTTAAATTCTTGAATTGACCACTCAGTGCGCCCCGCACAAAATGCCCTTGTGAACAAGACCGCCGTTGAATGCGAACTCAACCGCCGATAGAGAGTTATAAAACACTTTTTTTAACCCAGGCAAACAATTTTCTAACGAAACAACCACCTTAAAACAAATTGAAGATTCTACTTTTGCATTAAAAGTTGATGTAGCCTAGTTACGCGAAGCAAGCAAGGTAAACACTTGTTCAAGTGCCTAGTCCTTATTTGCGATAGGCCCAATAATCATATGCGGAAAGGCACAGCCTAATAAAATACTTATAAAAGTAGATAAGCGAGCTTTAAGGTCCAGTATCTTCAAAATGGTGCACTCACTCCGGTCATGGTGTAGGTTTACAGAAGAGGAGTTCAACTGCGAACTTGGATGGAAAATCTGGAGCTTTTATACACAACAGGATTGAACGAGAACGTGATGTACATCAAATGAGAAAGCACAGAAAAGAAAAGCGTGAAATAAAGAAAGCAGACAACTTGTATTTCGTATAAACTGATTGTAACCTTGGGGAAAAGTATTAAGGTATGTCAATCACGTACACCCTTTGACGCGGATCTGCATACTAGAAATACCTGGATTGAAAAATTCCGCGTACACTCAATGGTCGACTCGACGCCATTGAGTAATGAATGGGTTTTGTTAAATGTGCTTTGCGCTGTTATTTCTCTACCCGGAGTTTGCCACGTGCAATGCTCCTTTCTGCAACCTTGGGTATCCCTTTCTAGTGCTTAAACTAGGTTTCTTAATCGAATTGATTGTACGGTGCCCACACAAATTCAACGCGGCTATAGATTATCCGTTTTTGAGAAGGGCCTATTGAGACAGGTTCTAACTATTTAGACAATGCATCCTATATAAGTTTCACTAGGCTTGTCAATCACAACTGTAATACACGAAAGTAACTGGCAAAAAGACCACGTGGCTTCTTCATGGTGGTGCGGTTTAAGCAAGGGTGGCTGTGGTGACCGTCGCCGCCCTCTGCTTCGCAGGCGGCAGCGACGGCAGGCACGAATATTTTTGAAAGGCAGGCGATGATGTATTGACAAGGGCAATCGTTCTTTAAATGGCTGGTATCACTGAGCAAAAATTCCAGTAGTGATGCTGGTGTCTTTGATAACTCAAAATGTGCAGGAAAGCGTTTCATGATCAGTAGGATTTATATGCATCTAACCAGCTTTCATGGGGCTTGTTGAAGCTATGTAATATATTTTCCTTCTGTACTGGTCACTGACAAGATGAACGCCACGGTCATTAAGAATAGAACAATATTCAGCTTCGTTTGCCTCATCTCTGTTTCAGTTGTCTCCTTTTTTCGGATCCAGTTTCTTCTGCTTGTTGGACACATTGGCAGTTTCGGCACAGCCGTTTTGACTGATTCTGACTTTTGCAAAAGCTGTTGAAGCTCCTGTATTGTTGCTAATACAAGGGTGAATTTGGAAGCTGCTGCAAGGGTGCGGCATTGGTGTCGCTGGAATGCATGTATTCCAAGATTACCTTAACTGCTTTGTTTAGAGGTCCGCTCATTTGAACCTGGGTATCGCGTCTCACGTTCGTAGCCACCATTGTTTCGAGGCACCACTGAAGCAGGATCGATTTGAAAGAGCTGACCAAACGCTGATATGTTCTGCATTGCTTTTACTTTGTCTTTGTTTAGCTGCAGCTAGGTGGCGCAACCGTGCCCCATTTCGTGCGTTGTGGAGATGCTTCTTTTTCATCACGAGCTTTTAGGAGCGTTGTTGCACAGTAAAACGTACATTAAGGCGTTGGTTAAGCATATTTATTTCTAAATAAAATCATCATTAGCACTTGTTAATTGCATCAATGAATACAGGGCTAACGGGGAAATTAATATACTATGATTGGTATCTCAGACACTGAGTGACAACCGTTTTAGTGCCTTAGGACTCCAGTTTCAACTAGTGATATTAAGCTGTTAGACTCTTTCTCTAACACCATTTTGCGGAGAGGTTCGTGGCCAGATTTATTCCTTCTCTTCATTCGGTTTGGCGCGATTTGGCCGAAGTTGCATTTTGCGCCATGTAGTCCTTTATAATCATCATCATCACCGCCATCAACCCTCTTTGTTTTTAACTCTTTTTTTACTTCGGTGGTGTAGCTTCCCAGCTCATCTTCCACATGCTGGATAGTCACAATTGCAATTCTTGCTTTCTTTGGTGTCAGTTAAGTTTCTTTTCTTATGTGAACGTTGTTCGTTTTTACAGAGAAGTTCACACTAACAGTGCTCGTCACAATGGAGCACTGGAGTAGGGTTACTTGACATAAGAGTCGTGAAAGCAGTGCTGCATTTGCTGCATCTGAGTAAAATATTCTCGGAAAGCGCCTCCAGGTTAAAAAAAAAAAAAAGTATGGTAACATTTGGATGAGGTATATATCTATATTTTAGTAAGCAGTTTACAGAGGCCGAAGGGGACCTTGTTCCTGGCTAATGGCGTATTCATATTCGCGGAAAATGCTCTTGCCGCCGACCACATTTACTCAACGGAAAAAGACCACGCCGTTGACGTGGGTTCGGTCTCTCGAGGATACGACGAGAGTCGACACTGCAGCATTTAATTTTACGAATATAAGGGTACTTCCAGCTCGCGCACGTATAGTTAATATGTTTGTGCTGAGTCTTTTGTGCTTGCATAACAAAGAAACTATGTGTGAAGTGTGCGTTAAAACTGTTTATGGCAAAGGAGAGAAGGCGACAGGTGTCCGATGACAGCGTATCATGTAGGCTTCCCATTGCAATCAGCAGTTCACTGCTTCGCAGTATATAATAGCTAACAGCCCACAGTTGCAAGAACACGGCCAACGTACTCTTGGAACTATTGTTTTAGAGTGCAGGAATAAACCAACGAGCAAACGCGAGACAGTGTGTACGTTTTGCTCATGCCTAACTGGGCACTGGCTTTATTAAGCATATATTATAGACTGTCTTTCTGGATCAGATGGTTTTCGAAATGGGCTGGATGATTTTGTATCGATGCCTATTTTTCCTGATACAACAAGACAGTGCCATTTGTACCAGTCGGCAAGGTTGTGATGTCAACAAATACGATTTCCCCGTGTGTTCTGATTGGCTGCAGCGGAGTGTAAAGGCTTTCCTCGCGCAAAAGACCTGTCCCGAACCGATTTGTCTCGCGGCCAAAAATCATTGCAGAGGCAAGCGGAATTTGTATTCAGCAGCGCATTTTGACAAAGGCTCACCCTCAATCAACCTTCTCAAACGTCTTTATGCTCCGTTTCACCGTACGATGGACTGCAACGGATGCTACAAGTTATCATAGCCAATCCGACGCTCCGTGCATACCAGGCGACTTCACGCTTCCCACGTCGCTCCGCCCACCCGGTAGGTCACGTAACACACTCCGTGCTGTGAATTCGCTCTGGTGGCTTGTGGCGTTCACTTTTGTGCGTCATAAGGTAAAACGGAGTATAGAATTTGTGTAGCCTTTTCAGATGTCCTATCCTTAAAATCCTAGGGGGGGGGGGGGGGGGGGGTACTTTTCGTCTTCATATGCTGCAAAGATTCACTCGGCACTAAACAAGTTTGCAAGAGTGACCGACAGATGGAATGTGTAAGTAGCCATGCGCGGTTCGGTGGTGTCGCAAGGAAACTGAGAGGGAAGGTAGTGGAGTATAAACGTAATGTCAAACCGGACCACCTTTTTTTTTTCTTTTTTTTTTTTTTTTTTGCGTGTGATTTAAGCGTTGTGTCACCTTTTCTCCAGCCGGGCAGTCCTTTGTTCGTGGTACTCTTTTTTTTTTAGTGCTGACTACACGGAGAGGTGTGCTGCCGTAAACTTTCCATCCTGTAAGAAAACACACTATGCAGTACAAAACGAGTATGAGTCACCTTTCCGACTGCACTGCATGTTACAGACTTTGTAGTCATTTAAATAGAAAAACAATAAGCATTAAAAAACAATAAGCAAAATGATGATGGGCTTTTGAGTAATAAAGTAAAATATTTTCCCGTATTTCTGGAAAAGGTTGCACTTTTCAAATAAAATAATAAAACATCTCAAGATTGCAATGTTAATTTTGTTAGTTTCTTTTCCAGACGTGGCGGATGAGCCACAAATTTCAACATTGTGCCAGAAGAACCTCCGAAGAAGAGGAAGCGTTGCAGCCTGAAGACATTTCTTCACGAGAAACTGAAAGAATCTAATAAGGTTCGTTGTTGGGCTAGTTGGTTTATCTGAGTTAAACATATAAAATTGTCACGTAACAAGCACTATTACTAAAAATAATTAACATGGCTCGCATTTACCGATACACTGCAGGGCGTTTTCATAAAAGATTGAACAACCATGTCCGGTGACCATTTTTAATTTTGATAAAAGAAATAATTTGCTGGCTCCATGCCCAGAAAAAAAAAACAATCCTTGTTCTGAAAAAAAAAAATTATCTTTGCGAAAAAAAATTGCAAACACCCTCTCTTAGGTTCACGGTTTTTGTATCGCGCGATGGTTGGCAGTTCGGCGGCTTAGCCCCCCTCAAAAAAAAAAACTGTTGCGGCTGCGGGTCTAGAAATATTTACTTACAAATTAGGCATAGGAAGGATTGACCAAAAGTATTAATCGCCGAATATTAGGGTCGCTATTTTGAGAAACGAAATTGCAAATACGGCACATTGCGCATTGACGGTCTGGGTTAAAGATTTGTTTTCTCCATATCTTTAAAAGCTAAAGTCTTGAAACTTTGCGAGCGTGTGTTCTCTGTACATAATTCATCTGCGAATGAAATATTGCCACGGGTGGTGAGCAAAAGAACAAAAATAAACAGGAAGGCGAAACGTTTATGGGGCGAACTTGTGCCCGAAACATAGGGTTTAAAGAACAGGTGTCGTAAGCGACCGACGATGTCGGAGAAGAGGCAGAATCCGGTGCTAGCGTAAGACTGACTGCGGCTTGCCACACGGAGCCCCTTATGTACACGCGTGGGCTTCTGGAACAATCGGCGTAAAAGCTTCAGCGCCTAGAACATTTTAACCTCGAATCAGCCAGCACGGTTCTTGAATTTATCAGAGCATCACATTACAGCGTCAACAAAAATGTACACCCGCGGCCAAGCATCGAACCTTGGCTTTCGCATGGAAGGCAAGCGCGATAGCCGCTAGGCCACGAGCGCGCTGCCTATACTTGGTCAGGTGCGCACGCGGTAATATCGTTGTCCTGGTTAGCTGGAGACATTCAGAAGAATTGCTCACATATATGGGCATTGAACTAAATACGCATTATTTTGAAAATCATTAGAAAAGGCCATCTTTAATATTCTTTAAACTCTCCGAAATTAACGTTTATAATATGTACTAACATAATCTGCAAAAAACATAATGCAGTATTTATGTGG